ATTGATGGCACACGACGTAGACACACATTCGGCATGTAATGCTGTTTGAATACAAGAAGGGAAACAAAGCCTCTGTAGCCACAAAGAATATCAAAGAAATTTATGGAAATGTTTTAAAAGTTCGTAAGTGTCAACGATGGTTCAGCAAATTTCAGATGATTTGAGCCTTAAAAACTGTGATGGAAGAGGCCGACATGTTGGAATTGATATTGATGCTCTGAAGACGCTTGTTGAATCTAACCTAAGGCTACACATTCGTAAAATGGCCCTGAAATTGCATGATCTCATAAAACAATACGTAAAGATCTAAGAAATATGGGAAAACGCTTTAAAGAATGTGTTTGAGTGCCTCACGAACTCTCCGATGATCATCGTTTCCAACGTGTGAACGTTGCTTCGTCTCTTCTGGCGCGTAATGCACGTGAAACATTTTTGGACATAATTTCTTCCGGTGATGAAAAATGGATTCTCTATGCGAATATTAAGCGCCAAAAACAATGGCTCAGTCCTAGACAAAAACTACTTCCGACCCCAAAACCTGGACTCCATCCGCAGAAAGTGATGCTTTGTATTTGGTGGGAATCACAGGAGTAATTCATTTCGAACTTCTCAATCCACAGCGAACTATCAATGCAGAGATCTATAGTCAGCAACTGGAACGTTTAAGTCAAGCACTTCATCAGAAACGCCCTTCACTCGTCAATCGAAAAAGTGTTCTTCTTCTCCACGACAATGCACGTTCACATGTGGCACGTTTGACGCAACACAAGATAATGGAGTTGGATTGCTTCAAAACCAAGTGATTTACTGGGTCTTGTCTTTTAGTACAACAAACTGCCAGCTCTCACAGAAATGTGCATGGTATTTTTTGAAAGTCTTTTGCAGCTTTCCTTTTTATTCCCAGTGTGTCTGAAGCATAGCTTGAGAACTCATAACTTATACTTTTCTAAAAGGATAATATCTTTATGAATTATTTTGAGCAGGACTGATTGTTTATGTACAAATCATTAGTAGTACTTGTGTGAGTGAGTGAAGGAAATGGTCCTGGATGACAGTAATAGTAGCGTTTAGTGGGATGCTGTTTAGTTGGTTTAATTTAATAGTATCATTTTGGTGTGCTGATTTTCCCTTGCAGAAACTATTTACTACCAACAAAGACGTCCAGCAATGCTAGGTTTAAAAAGTAACGTTTAAGTTGGAGTGTGGGCTGCCAATTTCCACTATTAGGAGCTGTAGCACAAGAAACATTTGTCTGATGTAAAGGTAACCTTGCTACATGTGGCCTTAAACATCACTTTTGTTTGACATTGGCTTTATGTAGTTTGGTTTCCGACCTTCTCACACATTCATAGTATTTTGAAACATCTACCAAATTCAAGCTCTTTGTCTGATCGATTATCCATTTAAGCTCGGTCTTCTTGTGGTCTACCTAAGTACACCTACCAATTTTAGCTGTTGTTGTTTAAGAGCTCTTGACAACAACTTGTAACACCAAACGGAAACAAATAAATAGATTCTAATTTATATATATAACTATATAAAAGCTTAAGAAGTTAAAATGGGATTGGCTAGATTTTCCTAAAAATACGTGTTACACAAACCAATAAAGAAAAACCCTTGGTTATGGCTATCAAAAGATGCTAAAAATCAAAGAAGTTTATAAGGCCTAATTAACGTCAATGTGAAGCTTAGTGTATCTACAAAATACATGGAACACATATGAAACAAAGAACATATGCTACGAATAAAACTTAGTTTAACCACGAGTTTCTATACATTAGCACAGTCTTTACTTAAATATGTTAGTTAAAAACGTTATTGAATGTTATAATTTCTTTCTTATAAGTTTTATTATTAGTGTGTGTGTGTGTAGTTATTGTAGCAAAGCCACATTGGGCTATCGGCTGTGTTCATTGAGGGGAATTGAGCCCTGATTCTAGCATTATAAATTAGTAGACTTACTTCTCTCTCCCAGAGTACTTTATTATTAGAGAATCCACCCAATAGTCAATACCATTACATGCTGATACAAGTCTAAAATTGAAATAAAAGATCCAATCATTCATCCAGTCCTTTAAAATGTACTTTTGTTATTTTTTTTATTATTTATTCATAAATAAAGGTGTAACTCAAGGTTTCTTACATATACATGTATGTATGTATGTACTATAAAATATTTATAAAATATGCTAATTGTGTAGTATAAAACTACAAAACAATTTCAGGTCATATCCCATCAACCAACCTGATATGATTTAGCTCCAGCTTACAGGAATGAGTTTTAGTCCTTAATGTGCAATTATATTTTATTTCACTATTTCAAAGGTAATCAGTCATTATCGGAAAAATAAACAGTAGGAAAATTAACTTTCTTTTAAATTATTTTTTCCGGCAGAGTACATCTTCGACTTATTTGTAAAATGGATTTCTGGAAATATCCAATGGACAAACAAACATGCAGACTTGAACTTGAAAGTAGTAAGTAGACCTGAAGATATAGCTATCTGTCATCAAGGAGAGTTATTTTCAAGGAAAAAAGAATGAGAGGGAATTAGAAATACGTCAGACACAAAAGTAATGATACATTTACACAAACCACAAATTTCTCCAATTATGAAAACATTTTTTCAAATTGACCAATAAAACAAATTTCAGCATTAACATTTTTATTTCAAGTAGTTTCTTCTAAGTGGAAACCTGCAGAATAGACTACTTGTGCTGTGCCTAGAGCAAGGATCAAACCCAGAATTTTAGTTGCATAAGCCTTCAAAGGAGAAAATACACTTACACTTACAATTGTATCACTTACAATTTCATAATTGTCTGTAGTAACAGACTTAAAACAAATATTAATAATTAAAGAATGAGAAATATTTTCAAAAATTAATTTCCAATGTGTAGACTGGATTTTGAGTAATGAATCATTTAGCTTTTCATTACTTCGCTGGCTTTCAGCATTTAAACCATATAAGTTATAATAATAAGTTTAACATGCACAAATAGATTTTATAGAAATATTCACAGATATCTTGTATACTTCCTGTTAGTTCAGTATTACTATTATAGAATAACTTGAGGACATATAAGATTTCTGCTCCTTTTGTCCAAGTTTAGCCAATCAGAAACAGACCAGTACTCCACTTCATTATGGCAGACAATTTTGTGAAGGGGGCCAAAATGGACCTGATTGACATAAGGGACAGTCCAGATGGAGGTTTTAATTATATAGGAAATTTTGTAGATCATATTACCACTTTCAGTATATTTTCCCTCCTGAAGAAATAAGCTACAGAAGTGATACAGTTACTTAATGAATGAGTGCTTAGATACCTAAGGTTACCAAAGATTTTTCATGCGGACAATTAAAGGAAGTTTTTAATCAGTGTTTTGTTTTGATTTTTAAAATTGGCGGGTGATGAAAGTCGGATTTGGAATTTATTTTTGTGCAACACGTTACCCTTAGCTGTCATGGCTACCATGAATGATGTAATAAATTGATATCGAAGTTCATAAGACTGTAAAAGAAACTCGTTATAGAGTAGTCTTTTGCCACAGCTCACCAAATGTGGTTTTCCCCCGGTTCAAAGAAGAAAATTATTGATAGACAAGAGCAGAGGCTTAGGCATTATTATCATTTTGTAACAGCATCTTAACACCAATTCAATGATCTGGAGATGGTCATACTAGCAGTACTTTATATCTGCATGTGCAAGACGTGTGCTCGTTATGTAATCTCTAGAAGAAAAAAAAGCGCTATCTCGAGATTTTGCAGCTAAATCTTAATATGTAATCATGATCATATAATGGACTTTGTACACTAAAACTCCAGAACTTTTAAAGTGCATAAAGTTGTACCTACGTATACACCGTCAGTAGTACAAGTAAGTAAGGAAAACTGTCATAGTGGGTGTTTATATAATCCCATATTTTATTTATAAAAAAACGAAACCACGAACCTTGGCTAAACATAAATATACCAAACTAAACTAAAAGTAACATAACCAAGGATGTCTAAGGTCCACTTATGCATCAACACAGTCTTAGTCAAGAGACTGCATACACGTCTAACATTTCTGTTTGCATGACGAAGCCGTGTGTTTACATATTTGTCTACAACAAGTTTCATGAGTGCAATGATATGATTCCCTTGTGGCACTTCTTCAAACATACGTTGATGAAACTCCTTGAATAAGTATATAGGTGCATTTTCCAGCTCCCGGCACACAGTTGTATCAGCAACTTTTATTAAAAAGCACCTCAGAACTCTGTTAGTTTATATAGACAACTAGCATGACGCAGCCTTAACGACTGAAAGTATGATTATAGAGTTTATAATTTTGAGTGGTACCTTGCGTCTTCTAATGCTTTACAAAACGCCTGACAAATGAAAAGTTTCTCTGACACATCGAAACACAAAGCCTGTCATTTATGAAAAGTCTTCTTATGCATATAGAGAAAGATTATCAATATGTGGTAGTTTGGCCGACATAAGTGATATTATCAGTTTAGAAAATTGTGCACTTAAACCAATATGTTCATGTAGACAATGGTTACTGTCTTGATTTCTCACAAGAAAAGTATTATAACAAAACTGTTGATGCTTCATCAGAAATAACATTCCTTTCCCGAAGAGAAGAAACAATGTCTCTAAATTGTAACTTTGCTCTCTAGATGTCGACTTTACCAACGAATAGTGGGATTAACCGTCACATTATAACAGCTGAAAAGGGGCAAGCATGTTTGGTGGGACGGGAATTCGAACCCGTTACCCTCATATTGCGAGTCGAGCCCTCTAACCACCTAGCCATGCCTGGCCATGTGGCCAAACAAAGTAATTTTAATTTACAAAAAGTGAGAGCTCAGACTTACCGCTGAGTCACCAGGGGCATTACCTGCAAGTAAATATCTAACCACGAATACTATAACAATATGAAATTAAAAATTATTCTTCGGTTATGCCCTTCAACAATTCCAAATTATTAAAGATTGCAGTAACCAAACCTGCACAACTTTCACGACGTACCGAAATCTCTGAAATCTTGTAAACGAAAATAATTTTTAATGGTACCAGAAGGCATTAGCAGGTGCTTCTGAATTTCGTAAAGAGAAGGATAAATGCTTTCAAAGCGTAAAAGTAGGAGTGATGTTTTTTAATAAAGTCTATGATATAAGTTCCACATATATATGGCTGAAAAAATGTACAAGTAATTCATGAAACAAAACAACAGTTAGTTAATTTGGTTGTTTCATTGTGTTAATAAAATAGAAAAACATGGGAATGTATAAAATTAAAAATAGTAATTGATATAAATATTTTGTTTATTTATGTGACATTATAACTATTAATAAAGTATAAAAAATATTTCAGGTATTTTGCGGGAGGAGGAAATGATTTTAGCTTGGGCAGAAGGTGAGCCACTCGCGCTGAATAATAATTTCTATTTGACAGGGTTTGAGCTTGTTGATTATACGTTCTATTCAAGCCAAGCTGAATACTGGATGACAGGTAAGACATAATTTTGCTATTATTTAAACACAATTTACAGAAACTGTATGAAATTGGAAGTTTTTAAAATACTCTTATGCGCAATCCTTTCTTTTTTGGACTTTATACAAATATACAACAGACTATGATAAATGTGATACTATTATGATATTACAATACAAGCTTTATTATAATTCGTTGATAATTTTCTTTTTCATTAGAAAGTTGACGTTTTCGTGTTTTTTTTTGACGTGATAAACCTTCCACGTTATTGATCTTTATTTAAATCAAACATTTTTTTTTCTTCCAAAGGCAACTTTAGTCGTTTGCTGGTAACTTTTCAGTTAGAAAGAGAATTTGGCAATTTTCTTCTTGAAATATATATACCCAGTATCCTTTTTGTTGTAACATCATGGACTTCATTTTGGCTTGAGATTCCGGCCGCTCCCGCTAGAGTGAGTTTAGGCATCACAACACTGCTGACTCTTGTAACCAGTGCTAAATCTACGAGGGAGAAGCTACCAAAGGTTTCTTACATTCACGCTTTAGACGTATGGAACGTTGGCTGTACAGGTACGGTTTTGAGTATATTGGTGTTGATTATTTCCTTCAATTACATAAACTCCAAAATAAGCTAAAAATTTTATTTATTACTTTACCATACAGAGAGGAAGATCATATATATAAATTAGATGTACTTCCGCAGGGTCCCCAAAAGTGTTCTGTTTCGAGAGTAAATGAAACCAAAATTAAGCGTAACAAATATTTTTTTTTTTTGCTTTTCAAGCTCACATGTCATGATGTGTTGTAGCCTACAGAGTGTATAATTCTTCTCGTAATTCATGTCATGCGTACGTTTTACTGATGTCACGACAGTACAAATTGCAACATTAAGCATCCCTTATGTGACAGACAATACATTACTGTATAATGGTGCGAGAAGTTAAAACAGGTGACCCCTTTTCAGTTTTTTATAGGGCCGGGATTTTTTACAGTAGGCGTCTATGACTTGTTGGCGATGAATTTCAATACTAAATGGACACAGCACACAATCCACTTATTTTAGCATACTATATTTAAAACAAGTCAAGCGTATATAAATAACCGTTACACTACTGGTTATCACAGTTATATCCAAAGCTTTAAATAATTGTCTTTTTTCGGGAAAGTCCACACAGGCGGGTTCAGTTACTTTAGCACACTATTTGAGAAGACAAATTATTCTTCTTTATCTGTGTTATTACAATACAAAGTGTGAAACTGACTTCAGAAATCGCTCATTACGGCTAAGCTCTCACGCAGGCTAACTTCACTTTTTCGTTCACTTTCACGAACTAACTTCTCTTCACTTCTGCATCTGCACTATTTATAGCACGTGACAGAAAAAGCTAGAAACATCTAGCCCTCTAGTAACAATAATATTATACATAATGAGAAAAACTCGGAAGCTTCGAGTAAGACGACGTCAACAATATTACAAAAGTCTAGTACAACAAATAAACTACATACACAACTTACAACTCATACAGAGTTACGTAACAAAACTTGTCATAACTATCGCTTTTAAAATAATTAGCTTTTAACATTCTTGTTATGAAACTTAATAATCACTAAATATTAAAACACTAAATAAACTGAATAATAACTCTTAAACTTAATAGTCTTGTATATACCCAACACTCCTCCAGGCGGCCTTCGGTCCCCTTTCGGGGAAATTATATTCGGTTGAATATGTAAAGCATATCCCTGGTCAGTCAGTGTGTAAGTTTATGGTAGGCAAAACATATATAACCTATTGTGTAGCTTTGTGCTTAACTTCAAATAAACAAAATACTCTGGCACCATTCTCTTCTGTATATTCAATACACTGATTCAAGTTTCTTCTGTAAATTCAATACATTGGTACAAGTTTATTTTTTACATTAGGTTAGTTGAGTTAGTGTGGGTAATTAGAAGTAAATAATTTTCCTGATAAAGAGAGAAATATCTAATATAATTAATCAAACCGTCATTTTCATTAGTCTTATCTGTAACATGTTAATAGTTCATAACTAATGAAATATTTGTTGTTGTTTTTATCTTGTGAGTTCTCTATTAATATATCTAATTCAAAAAAAAATTAACCGTCACTTTCATTAGTCTTATCCGTAACATGTTAATTTTTCATAACTAATGAAATATTTGTTGTTGTTTTTATCTTGTGAGTTCTCTATTAATATATTTAATTCAAAGTTTATTCAAACATGGCCATTATCTTTTTTTAGCATTCATCTTTGCATCTCTTATTGAATATGCTATAGTCAATTTCATCTACTTCAAGGACAAAAGACGACGGCAAGGTGGATTAAAGAGGATCGAAAGTACTGCCACCTTAAGTTCATTAACAAGTGAGAATATACCTAAAACCCCTTTAACTCAAGTGCGAGCTAGGGTAAGTTTTTATAAGCATCACCAATAAAAAATTGTATTTATCATCTTCATAAAGATTAAGATGCTTTACTGAATGTTTTATGAAACATTAGTAATGAATTTTTCGCTTGAACTCCTGAAATCTTCACTGTGTAAGAAATAGAAAAGTGAAATAATTCTGCCAAAAAAAACTTAGTTTAAATTTAGTTTTATAAATGTATAAACATCGATTAACACCCCTGTAACATCTTTAACATAGTCTTGTAAAACTAATTACACCTTTCATAAAAGATCAGTATTCATTTTATTACCAAAAATTGACATTTCACACTCTCAATTATTGTATCACATTCGATTTGATGCTATGTAAGATTTTTAAAGGTCAGCAGCTGCTGTACTAATATCCAGCTACGGTTAAGATACTACGTGGAAATTAGTCAATGGAGAAAGCTGTATTGATGTAATGAATGTCTGAACTCGTTTATCTATAATCCAATCCAATGTGCTGAAGGAAAAGATTACTGCATTACGTGTTAACGTGGGCTTTTGACTCGGTCGCTTACGATAATTACTTCGCCGAAGTGTCACTATTAAAGCAGCTTTACAAAAGAAACAGTAGTTTATTTCTGTATGTGGCTATAACAGTTGATATTAGTTATTAGTAAAATAGTTCTGAATGTAATTAACGAATATAGCACGTTTTCAATCAAAATGGGGCTCTATCGACAAAGCATAAAACCACCGACCCTTTCTCAGTACTTTAGGTAATATGGTATATATAAACAGGAGCTATTTTAATGAACATGACACTTTAGGACGGAGAGCAACGTAAAGTTTAATAAACCAACGTTTTCATTGCAGAGTCCCAAACTACCTCCGAAATTACAAATAAATAGTTCCGAGCTCCAGCCAAGTGGATTTTCATGCAACACATCCGCGCCATCCACTCCAACATCTCCTCAGTCTTCTGAAGGCAACTGTGCATTCCCTTTTTTCTTTGAACTTCCTCTTACTCCGCAAGATATTGCTAATGGGTTAGACAAGAAATGCAGAGTCGTCTTTCCACTTCTTTTCTTGTTGTTCAACATCATTTATTGGTTAATTTTTTAGGTTTAAGATCATTATTTACCAACAGCTTCATTTGGTTTAATCTTTATTTATCCGTAATTGCTTTTAATCATTGAATATTTCATTTTCTATTCCAGTTTTTTATTAAATAACAAAACATAAGAATTCTGTCTTACTATAGCGAATTCTTTCGATAGTTAACTTTAAATACAAAATGATTGTGAAAAAGTAAAAGGTTTTAAGACATAACTTACAATGTTTTTAGCATATATATATATGTGTGTGTGTGTGTGTGTGTGTGTATATGTATATATATACACACACACACACGCAAAAGCAAAATAATTAATATTACAAAATAAT